ACCTACGGATCCTAGCCTCATTAGGAGCTTCTGTGGCCACGCTGTCTATGTGCTGTGGACGGGGATTGCAGATCGAGGGGTCATCAGTTGCTATAGTCGTACATCGGCGATTGAGTATCTGGTTAGCTACGTGTTTAGGCATGTTGATTCAGAGGATCTGGTTCAGCAGTCAGGTCTCCAACGCCTGATCTACTCTATGTTCCGCAAGATAGTGATTGACGAGGCTATGATCTCAGCTTTTGTGGAGAGGTGGCAGCTAGACACGAACACCTTCCACTTGCCTGTAGATTCCTGTTGAGGGACGGCTTATGAGTAGGACTTCTGCGCACCGTGACCATTCGGAGGTGGGTTTGTGTGCGCTTCTTGGGATGAACTCGGAGCAGCTGAGTGGTTGGTCGGAGGCCCCTCGATATGTTAGTAGGGGTAAGTGGTATGAGAATGGTGGTTTTCTTGCAGAGATGGTGCCCAGATACTTGAAGGAGAACAGGACACATGTGACAGAGGCACAGTCGTGCTTGTTGTTGTTGTTGGGGTCCACTTTATTAATGGACAAGAGAAGTGACAGGGTTCGTTCGGTGGTGAACCTATTTTTGGACGAGTTGGAGGAGGTAGATCATTATAGTTGGGCGTCAGGTACACTTGCTTGGTTGTACAGACAGCTTGGTCAGGCATCTCGAGCTGGTGCCAGGGGGTGGCTCGTTGTCTCACACTTCTGCAGTGTTGGATCTACGAGTACTGGGTGTCTTAGGGACACCCCTCCAGGGGATTTTTAGTTGTTTTGATGTTCGAACCATTTATGATTTGTACTATTTGTGTTTAGATCGGATGTTGATGTTTAGATCGGATGTTTATGTTTAGATTGCATGTTTGCATATTTATGTTTAGATCGGATGTTTGACTATTTATGTTTGGATCGGATGTTTGCATATTTCTACAGTCGTGATACCCCTAAATTGATATCCATCTCCATCCATAGATAATGGATGAAAAACAAGTCATGATTAAAACATCGAGGGTAGATAATAAAATCCATAAGTTTCCCCAAGAAATCGAGAGATTTGTTCATGGTGAAAAGAAAGAACATAAACAAGAAAGAACCCTATGCATTGCTCCTACCCCTAGCTCTTCGTGAGTCTCTCGGCCTGGCTCGCTGCCAACCACCAAGACTCTCAAACAAATTTTGTCCAACCTCGAGAATAACTATCCACTCCGCCACATTAGGATGTGCTAGCCCATGCCAAAGTGGATGCAGAGGGGGTATGGGAAACTGATCCTGGTTGAAGTACAATCGAATGTAGTGGTTGTTCACATAGTGCAGTGATAAGAACATGGTTGGTGGCAAAGTACATGGGTCCGCATTAATAGGCAATACAGTATAGGCATCATCGTAGCGGATGGGTAGTGGACGGTTTGCATTATTGAAATCATACAACTGGTACGAGAAGACCATGACTGCGATGTTGTAGATGTTGGCAAACACGAACAAGTCCTCAGAATCCATCCATCCCCCCGGTGGTGCATGACCCACCTCGAGCCAATTGATGCATTGATTGTGAGCTATTGGGCCACCATTATACAAGTCTCGTACTTCTAGAAATGTTGTTGGATTTCTTGGGAAATTGCTGATCTCATGAGCAGATAGTGACTATCATCCCCATAAATACAATGAGAAAGTGTCTGAAAACCACAATGGTCGTCTGGACTAGGGTTTAAATCGCCTACCAGCAAAGGTCGAACAAACTCTGGAAAAAGCTCCTCGATGTAAGGGTAAGAATATTGCCCTGGGGGGCTCTGGGATGAGTAATCTACAAAAATATACCAAACGGTCAAAATTACTTAGACAAAATTTATAAACATAAACCAACTACTATTAGATGGACTATAATGTTAAAACATTAGAGTTCAAACTCACCTGTATCATGCTCGTCGGATTCACCTCTACTCGATCTCCCAATGCCTCCACTCGATCGGGATTTGCCTCCAGTCGATCGGGACCTGCCACCAGTCAAACCATGCCTACTACTCCTCGAACGAGACCGCTCATAATATGAACGAATGCGACTGGTGCTTGTTCGAGGCCGCCCTCATGGATTCTAATTCACTTCCGGTTCCCTCACATTGTCCTATGTTGGGTGAAGCCCATAGAATATGGCATCTTTTCCTTGTCTCACTGCTTTAGGACCTCTTTCTTCCACCTCAACAGTAAGACGCCTAAAGTGTTGTCGTTGAAGTCAATTTCAACACTGACATGTTGTTGAAGTGGGGAGTTTTATAATCCAAAGTCTGCCAGAATACATGCAACTCTTGAGCATAGAATTGACGTGGTTCATTCACCACTTCCAGAAACTGATATTCCATGTAGTTGTGGTTCTTCGCAAAAAAAGTGTCAAACTGTCAATCGCTCCTCTACCAGACACAAGGAAAGTCTTGGATGAAGAGTGAGATGACTCAACTCTATTCGAGCTCGTGTTACCAAGATGAAACACATGGTTCGTGTAGCACTTTGCCCACATTGTCTGATGAGGCAACCTCACCTCGCACGTAGTCGACCATATCTATGTTCTTCTCTGTCCACACCCTCTCAAACTCATTAATCTTTTGAAGAAAACCCTCCTGAGTCCAACTCCATGCAGCTTTGTCGAAATAGTTTTTCTATACCGCTTGTGCTACCTCTCTTTGTGCAATTCCACCCAATAATTGCTCAAACTTTTTCTTCACGCAGTTGTTGACGTGCCATAAACATAGTAGGTGGACAGTATGTGGGAGAGGGAAGACCACAGGAACAGAAGCAAGCAGACCACCTTCTTTGTCTGTCACAATGACATTCAGAACCGTATCACCGAGCAACCCTTTAATACATCGCAGCAGCCACTCATATGTTTCCTTTGTTTCCTTCTTCATAATTGCACATGAAATGTTGAAATTCTTTTTGACTGGAGTAACCCCAATAATCTCAACCCATGGGGCGTCGTACCTGTTCGTCTTGTAGGTCGAGCCGATGAGGATGACGTACGGCCATGCATGCAACATCTGAATGGACGTCGGGTGGGCAAAAAAGATATTAGTGAGCACATTATTAGCGTCCTTTTGCAAACAGATATGGTACCCACGTTGTTCAGCTCCGTGAAGCTCAAACTGTATCGCATCCATTTCACCCATCTCATCCAATCGTGCTTTGTAATTTCTGTTGTACATCTGTTTGATATCATGATGCACACCCCCTTCAGTATTGAGTGTCATCTTCTGCTGATTTGGTCTCACCCCCGCCTTCCTCATTAATCTTAACCTCTCTTTTTCAGCCTCATTAAACTGTTTGTTGTGTCGGTGATGTTCTGGATACAACAGCTTTTCATGGTTGTGAAACCCTCTATTAGCTCCGGTTACACGACTTGTCACTCCTACTATGACCCATGAGTTTGGACCATTCTCTTGCCATACTTCCTTAATACATATCTGAAACTGGCAACCAGTACCCTTCGAACTAGTATTCCCACGCGTCTCCTTCGTAGAGTCTGGTTTATAAGACTTAACGATCCTACTGTTTCAGTCGCAAAACATACAGAGGGAAGTAACAGGATGTAGTGCTGGAGTATTTGGTTTCCATGCTCCTATAATAATAAAGAACCCACACTCCTGAGCAATTGCTTATGCAGCTAACTCAGCTAACTCCACACTTGCATAATGAATCTCATTCTCAAATTCTTGTGTGTAATCATGATCGGTCGGTAACCACTCTGACATTTTTTCTACAATTACAATATAACAGATCAACATTCCTGTGAACCTAAACGCTAATTTCAAGTCTTAACCGCTAAATTCAACTCCTAAACTCTAAATCAACTCTTAAATGCTAAATTCAACTCCTAAACTCTAAATTCAATTCTTACACGCTAAATTCAACTCCTAAAATCGAATTTTTCTGAAAAAAATCCAAAGACAGATGGCGGGCCGAAAATTTCCGGCCACCGAAACCAGGCCGAGTCGTCGGAAATCGGTGGCTGGAGCCAGGATGAGCCGAAAATTTTTCGGCTCCGGCCACCGATTTCCGTCGGCCCGGCTTCGTTCAAGTCGCCAGAAATTTTCGGCCCGGCCGCCGAAAAATTTCGACCCGCCATCTGTTAGTTGGAAATCGTCGGAAAAATTGTTTGAAACTACAAAAAATCGACGCACCTGCTTAGTGATGATTCAAGGATGCGTGTCCGCATTTTACATCGAGGTTCGGCTTTCCCGATGATTATTCGGCGAGCGTCGATTTTTTCTGATTCAATACGTTTTCTGAAAGTTGGATATGTTCTAGATGTGAAACTCCTTTACCAAAGATGGAGGCAGCAAGAGGGAGATTGTTATGGGCCTGATTGGTGAGTTAGATTTGGCGGGAGAGATGTTTGATAATTGATAGCGTTTGGTAGTGATAGACGAAGTTTGTCTATTTTGTCCCAGCTCATTATTAGTGAAGTCGATACTAGAGTAGCAGGAATGATCTTTGTGTAAATCTTGCCTAGTTGCCAAGGGGTATTGCCAAGGTTTTGGTTTTTGATGAAATATAGGAATACCGTTCATAAATAAAAAAAAAAAAGAGAGAGAGAGAGAGAGACATAGCTTTAATTGAATGAATGAAACTAGAAAGAAACACCTCTAAATAAAAATTACCAAAGATTATGATAAATCAAATATATAGATTGATAATAAAGAAAAGATAGTTTAGTAAAATACAAATGTACAACAGTTTACTAATCCCCAATTTTTGCACATAAACAAAGACGTTATGTATTATCTATTATTAATTATGCATAAAAATTATGGATATATTGTACTTAAGGGTCTCGTCAATAGAAATTGCTAGAGAATTGCAGTGATGGAGATTTTTTAGAATTGCTAAATGAAAGTTATTGATGTGACTGTGAGGACCATTTTAGAAATTACTAAATAATTTCTAGCTAAATAATTTTTTTGATGGAGATGGTAACGTTTTCAATTTTCCTGTCACCATGCTATCAAACTAATCCGTCTCCACTCTCCACAAAGACACACAATGACACAAAGCAATGAAGAGACAGATAACTGGGGCTTCTCTTTCAGAAACCATCCTCAAATTCTATGGGGAAAAGTCACAAACAGATGCCTTAAGTCGTGGTCAGATTCACACTACAGGTCACAGGACATGAATGACTCATGTCATGCCTCTCTTTCTCTAGGACCAGCCCCCTAAACCAACTTCCCAAACTGTACACCCAAACAAGAAGAAGAAGAAGAAGAAGAAGAAGAAGAAAAAAGGAGCAACTCTTTTCTTTTTGCTGTTTCTATTTTGATCCTCTCTCTAACTAGCTTGCAAAAGGTACATGCAGGAGAAACAGAAGAATGGAGACCCCCAACATGACCAAAGAAAAGAAGACACCATTTCAGGCTATTCAATCAGCAGAAACATGTTCCATTCTCAACAACCTGCGGACCTAAATACTCAATCCCATCCATTTGTGAATCCTCGGGCATTTCAACCTCTTCCAACCATCCATACCCTCTGCCTTCCTCTTCTGTCATCAACATTCCCTCTTCCCCTTCCCAATTCCCTGCACACCATTTAAAAACCTTTCCTTTACTCCAAGTTTCTCAACCAAATGCTTGAATGATAACTATTTTCACAAAGGCAAGCAGAATTCTGAACCTTTTTTAGCCTCACTTACTGGAGAAGTCTTGGTAAGGGAAATCCCGGTAGTAAGAGCAGTCCCGGCCATCTTCCATGGAATAGGGAGGACCGAGCACGTCGAGCATCGCACAAGGAGTAACTGCTACAAACTGATGAATGTTGCCTCCTGTTGTTGGATACAGTACCGACGTATCGCATGGAGCTTGGTAGACCTTATCTGCTACCAACCTCGCCAGCCTCACTGCCCCAACAAAGCCATAGCACAAAGGTGAGTTGCTCAATTTCAATCACCATGATGTTTCCAGCATTCATCAATTTAAACCAAAAGTAAAAAACACATACTCACGTTTAGAACTCGAAGCCGGCTGGCAGCCAACTAAGTCGTAAGATTTGATGTGGACTTCTCCTAGCAAGAGTTTGCTGAAGACTGTCATTCCTGGATGGTTGTGGAGTGGGATGACACTACCAGCAGGGAGAAAGAAAATGCACAACTGCATCCAAACGTATATCAATAAGTCCGAGGCAAAACAAAAACAAAAAAAAATTTATACAGAGTAGCGAATGGATGAGCAGTAATAAGGTTATAGGAAACTCACAGAGAAGTTGGTGCATTTGTAAATGGTGGTGTATTTGACTCTAGGACGATTAACAGTGCCTTGGACGACTAGAGCATTATTATTATTAGGGTTAAAGAACTGCAACTTGCTGCTTAGGCCAACATCCTCTGGCTGCATATTGTCTGCCAAACATCACAAAGAGAATAAAACCAAGAATATATGTTTATTTAGTCGGTCAATCAGAAGATAACTGAATTATGAGTAGCATGTTGAAAGTAGTTTAATACCAGAAATGCCATTACAAGTACAAAGTAGCGCATAGTTTATTAGCCATACTGCTCACTTTGGAAAGATTCTTAGGAGGATCAAAAGGACAAAGAGAGGTGATTCATTATTTCCCATCCTCCTCATGACTGACTTAGTTAATACATTTTGTCACAATCATAACTAGCTTTATAAATGATTAGCAATAGCCGTTTAAGGCAAGAATCTGCCCTAACTAACTCTGCTTACGATCAAAACCACACTGTTATATGCTCATAAAGATACTTATTCTCCTTTTTCATTCTGCTATGCACACATATTAAACTTATTATCAAATGAAGTAATAGTCTTTGAAGGAGGCCCCCACATCAACATATTAGAGGAAGTAATTAAACCCTAACACAAGGCGAAAAAAATGAGGGGCTATGAACATATTAGTATATGTAAGTTAACAAAGCAATAGTCCAAAGTGATGTATTGTGTTGCGCCATATAAAGACACTCCTACTCCTAGTCCCACAAAAATCTTCAACAAATTTTCATAGTTTCTGCATGCAAAATCATTTCTTTATAGTATTGTGGTAAGTTTAGGGAGAAAGACTCCTCCACTTTTGACTTTGGCTTACTGCTAAACAAGATCCTTCCCCTAAGTTGCTGTTCAAAGGAAAGGAAACCCTCGATTTAAATTCCCCATTACAAGGTACACATGGGACCTAGATCAGATATGGTACAAATTGAGCAGAGATCATTGGCCTAATCCCATGAATTATGCAACCTTATCTGAGATCTTCAAAATATAGAGAAGTACAATGACAATATCATTAAAAAAACGTACCATACCAACTTGATCACGAGTACAGTCAATCGGTACGATACAGCACAAGTATCCCTATTCACTACACACCAAGTGAGAATGAATGAAATAATAACCTACCTCACCCCAGGCAAGCTTTCCCATCTAGAGCCTTGGATAGGGGAAAAAGTTTCACAACAGCCACTTATACCAATTTTGGATTCTGACCCAATAATGGATCATAGTTCATAAGCAAAATCAGGAAAAGCAACGATTCTCAATTTCTTAGATCAACATACATCAGCCTATGTCACCTAACCACCGGTTCAGAATAAAATCAAGCTCCCAACATCAGCATCTGGTTCACTAACCTACATTGTTAATGCAATCAAGAGATCATGGATTCCCCAAATCTAACAAATCGCATCGCTTATCACTGGTCAAACCACCATCCATGCAAACAGTTTAAGGCGACTATTACTATGGCTGTTAAAGTTGACCACGAATGAACGAGAGAATTCGTGAGAAGCTTACCAAGTATGTGGCACAGTCTATCCACATCAGGTGGCAGAGGAATCGTGCCAGGACCTTTGAACACGTCTTTACAAGACTGGAAGAGATTCTGGAGCGTCACTGATTTTGAAGAGCCGTGAGGTGGCGATGATGACCTCTTAACCTTCTTCTTACAGCCTCTCCTTCTCTCCACAACTCTCCGCCCCGCATATCCAACCCTCTTCACTTGCCTAGCTATGGGGTCGCTCCTCGCCTCTGCTACAGCTTCAATCGTCATTACAGTTGCTAGCTAAAACGGAGGGAAAAAACGGGTGCTTTCTCCTTCTCCGACAACAAACCCAAATCTCAGAAGTAAAGGGTTGATTGGGAACGCGAAACCCAGAAGGAGGGGGAGATTAAAGACTGCAACTTTGGAGTGGGTCAAGCTAGTGGGGAATGGAATTCTGGTTAGAGATAGAAGAAACTGGGGATTTTGGCTCTGGAATCGAGAAAAGGGGGTAGGAGGATTGGAAAATGGATATAACCAAGTTGGAAATGGCGGTGGAAGAAGAATATAAAGGAAGAAGGTAAGGGGGAAACGGCAGGTGATGGAGAACATGGTAATGGGGGGAAGGACTGTATGGAAGGAATGGCAAAACCAGGGGCCAAACCCAATCCGTATGGAACCAGGGAAACTTTTCTTCTTTGTTTTTGTTTTTAGTTTCTAGTTTTCCTCTTTTGCTCTGTCGTCATGGGAACAGAGAGACTGAGAGAGTAAACCACCCAAAATATCCAATCCAACCGACGGGCTTCTGTCAGCTGTCCATCTTTCTCTTTCTCAATTTCTCTCAATTTTTTTTTTTTTTTTTATTTTTGCTTCATTATTTTATTTTGATAGAGTGCCTTGCTCCTGAATTTTGTTTCCTTCGTTTGATGTTAAATTGCAAGGTTATTAAAACGGTTTAAGTGTTTAGATCAAATAAGTGGTTTGAGGTTCAATTATTTTATGTGATTCTATCTGTTTGAGTCATTTTATATTTTAATATATATATATGGTGAGTTCGCCTAAATTACACGTTTGGTCACTCAAATTATATAAATCTTTCATGTTTGTCATTCAAATTACTTTTCTTTCTCATTCGCTACTAACTATATGAATCGTTTCACCGTTAATCACCGGCCGTGAGACTCATTTAAATTTGTCCTAAGTGGTAGTCAACTATAAATTTGACCATTAAGTAGGTGACGTGGAAATTTAGAAAAAAATTAAAAAATATGTATTTTCCGCCTCATCATTGAATAAGTCTATGTGATTTATCATATTAATTATTTGATAAAAATTAATAAATTAAAAAAATTAGTTATTAGTGAGGAGAAGCGAGTTGATGTTGTTGGTTCACTTACCCTTCAAATTCCTTCATTCCCTTCCCAACCGCTCCACCGCTAATCTCCCCGATCCTTCTCACGGCGAACGCCATCCCGTCTGCGGGCACCGCCTTCTACACGATGCTCCCTTCGCAGCTCGAACCCAGAAATGCCTGCAATAGCGTCTCCATCTCCGTCTCCCCGTCCACCATCACCAGCTTACCACCTCCGCCGCCCGCGCTACCGCTATTGCTCGCAGGCCTCAGCTCCTCGTCTCCGTGGACTACTGCGATCTTCCCGATCACTGTTCGAAGAGAAATTAAAAAGGCGATGGAGACCTAGTTTCCATCATATTCTAAATTATTCAACCTGGCTATAGTTACTTGGCATAATACAAGAACAATTCATTATATAAGTGGGTGGATATCTGAAAAAGGCATTTTCTTCTGACTCTCTCTTTATCCAATCAAGGCTGGGATCCATCAGAATGTTTTTTTCTCTGCAGCAAGCGTAAGCATCTCCAACGGCTTCTCGAACAACAGAGCGCTTTTCTCTCGCTTGTCAAGCTCCGCAGCCTCATCCTTCAAGCTATTTCTCTCGCAGATCGTCCAGAAGGTTTGCTCTTGGTCTGTGTTCATATCAGCTCCAGGAGCGCTTAAAGTAGTTATCCGTAGAGACGAGTCTCCAGATGGTGGCAACAGGGTTAAGAGCATTGCTCAGAAGTCAGAACTGTCGCGTATCAGCAAACGTCTCGAAATAGCAGGTGATTATTTCCAACCAATACTCGCGAATTAATTACCCAATGGTGAAATTGGATACTTAAATTTTTAAATTTAATTAATTTTTATTAAGTAATTAATATGATAAACCATTTAGACAAAGTAGGTGGAACGTTGAGGTGGAAAGATATATTTTTTTTAATATTCACGCTATCTATTTACCGGTCAAACTTTATAGTTGACTACCACATAGGAAAAATTTAACGGAGTCTAACTGTCCATGACTAACGGTGAAACGATTCATAAAGTTAGTGGCGAATAAGAAAAAAAGTAATTTGGGTGGCAAACATGAAATATTTGTATAATTTGAGTGACCAAACGTGTAATTTAGCCCGGTGAGTTCTATGGTATTCAGGGTGAAATCCGTGATACCGCATACCTTGAGTATGAAAACACTATCCACACCTTGAATTGATTGATCTTTCGGATATGATACTAAACTCTAACCCTTAAAGATCAAAATCTAGGTCTTAATTCTCTCTTATACCCCAAGATCAATTTTATTACAAAGAATGATCGACGGTTATGATTTGTCCAAATACAGGCAAAAAAGTGAATGCACCATCTTAGGGTATATAGTTTATGTCTTTATGATTTAGATAGTTAGGACCTAGGGTTCTCTCATTAAGGGTGAGGGTATAGTAATACCCAAAAATCCAGCTAATTCGATGTCTAAATAGCGTTTTCATACTTAAGGTATGTGGTACCCCGAATTTCAATCAAGATACCGCAGAAACCACCATATATATACAAATAAAATAATAATTTAAAATTTAAGGACTAAAATAAAATTTACTTTACAGGTATATATTAGAAACTAACCTCCTGAAAAAACACCTACATACCCTCATGACCCACCCACCATCTCCTCCCTCTCTGTTCTTCTCTCTCATCTTAGACCACTAGTTTTGTGGAATTAATTTTGGAGCCAGACTTTGGTCGAAGTGGTAGAGGTTTTGTTAAACTGTTTAGTTATTTCTAGGTCATGGTCTGATCCACCTCACCGACCCAACCTGTTTCAACTAGACAATTAAGTTCAAAGAGAGTATATGGTTACCATTGGATTGTATTTGGATAATTGGGTGGGCTTTGGGTATACCACTTTTCTTTCGTACTTGAATTTAGCACTATTCTAATTGCTCTAATTACCGTTCATTATTTTTAGGTGATTCTGACGGTGGTGTGTTATGTGGAGTATATTAGGTATTTTAGAAAATTAGAATAAATTAAAATTTTCAATATCTATTTTCTCTCTCCAGAGAGATTTGATGCATAAACAAAATTGTTGAAAAGGTCCTACTAGTTAAATTATGGTGGTTTTGGTGGGTACAGTAGCTATTTTAAATTTCATGGAGTGATTTAATTGTTATTAGTAGTGGTTTTTAACATACCGTTTGGTATAAATGAATTCCATAAATTTGAGGAATTCATTTTGAAATAAAAAACTTTTGTGTTTGGTATTTAAAAGAATTCTACGGAATTGAAACAAGTTATAGCAATTCCGAGGAATTGATATGGAATTTCCAAATGAATTCCACAAGTATTTACTAATTATAATAAAATGACATAATTACCCTCATTTATTAACTAAATTAATTTTACATATATTATTTGGCGCAAATTTATGCAGTATGAGGAACGTCAACAAGAATTTGATTGCAACGCTAGTAGCATATGTTGGTTATTTGATATTTTATGGTTCGATTGTATCAGTACGTTGAGAAGCCACAAAAGGGTTCATCAACGAGATATTATAAAAGAGCTAATGCATAGAATAGAAACACACAAAAATACTTTTGATAATCTATGTATGGTTCCAAAGGAGTATTTTAATTTAATTCAATTCTAAGGGTGTGCAATGGTCCGGTCCAGACCAATCTCAGGAGAACCATGGTCCAATAGTGAAAGACATATTAGGATCAAGGACCGAACCAACAGTGCATTTGGTCCGCTTTGGTCAGGTTTATTTTTCTCCAATACTTATAAAATTTATGGGACCAATGACCGGACCATATTATATTTGGTTGGTGTAGTTCGGTCAAACTCTCGGTTTCGTCTGATGCAGACTAGGCCGGTGCACACTGCTAGCAGTGACGACGCGAATCTCGGTATCTAGGATTTGATGTCGTTCTCAGGAGCAGAATCACCTTGCGACCAGAATCGTTGACAGTTGGAATCGCTCGACGAACTCAAATCTCAATGGTGACGAACTAGAATCTTGGTCGTGACGAAATCAAATCTCCACGAGCCTTCTACTATTGCGGTTACTTAAACCGTGTTAGTATTGGGCCTTGCTGGGCCTTGTCCGAGTTGTAGTAGGTACGGATACTTGGCCGTACTCGGCTCTTTTCATTAGGGTTTTAACCCTAGTATATCTCTATATAAGACTTATCTACGAATCATGTCGTAAGCAAGCCGTCAAAATGTAAACCTAATAAGAGATCAGTCGTGAGCTCTTCAGAGCTCACCGTGGATTAGTCATGTTCATGTCGAACAGGGATACCACGTAAAACTCTTGTGTTCTGTGTTCGTTTCCTTCCGTGTTATCAAATTCTACATGTTATAAGAATTGTAGATTCAGCTAGTCTTCCGCACACCAGCAAAGTTCATCCCGCTGGCTTGTTCTCTTCATCAGCGACGTTTATTACGCTGAACATAGTTAACATACGTCGCCGTCCTCACTAGCGGCGGACAAAGCGTTGTCACCAGCATTGTAATCAATTCGTGTCACCACGCCGGAAAGGGAAACGGGCCATGACCAGCATAGCGACGCCATCGATGTTCCCATACATAGCCTCATTGACCTGCACCTGTCTCCGCTTTTGAAAGAGCGACGGCGAAGTCCTTCCCGCCGTCGCATCTTGCCGCTTTGTCTCCAGGAGTGCGGATGTCCACTCCGGTCTCCACCGCCAACTCCGTATCGTCATTGTCAGCATCGGCAAGACGAGATCTGAGCCTCCGCCATTATCAGACTCGTCTCGTCCGCAACATCACTGTCGTCGAGTTGCTTCCCCGTCGATCGCGTCTCGTCTTCCGTCGTTCCTCCACCTCTAGTGAAAGCTCCGCCGTTGGTACTCCTCTCCTCCTCGTCAATTTCGAGCCTGCAGATGGCGTTGTCCTCTCGGTTTCATCGCTGGGTGGTTTACTCAAGTTCGATGAAGAAGACGGAAAGTGCAATTGACAAATTGGAAAGGAGGAGATGGACAAAGGAGGGGCGGTGCTGGAATTGCAAACCCATTTTAGGGTTTCCCAATCTTTAATTGGGCCGACAGACACCATAACCAAAAAGGCATAAAGGTTCCTCTTTCGGGCTGCCATAAATTACATGGGCCGTGTCACAAGTCACTTTTCAACTTCACTCAAGTATTAAGTGTAGCCGAATTGGCCCTTATGGGCTGCCACATATGTTTTGGTAAGAGTTTCTTGATGGGCTCTTCAATTAAATTTTGGGCCAGCTTTCATTTTTGCAGGCTTTCACCATCAAATTGTCAAGTATCGATTGAGGCATTCATGTTCCATAAAATGACCGTCCCCCTGGTGTTCAAAAGGTAGTACGATCAGAAAAGTCATCGTCCCGTTGGCATTCACGATCCCAGAAATGGTCGTCCCCTCTTCCGGTTCATTATTGGGCACATATCAACCATTCATCGCTTTTCAAGCTGGGCATTCACGATGTTCATGCTCCAGCTTGAGGGGGAGAA